GAAACAGGTGATCTACAGTAAAGAACATGATTTCCCTACTATGGTGACTTATGGCTTTTGAAGGTACAAAAACGGGAGTCTATGGCAAAGAATACTGTTTCCCTACTATGGTGAATTATAGCTCTTGATGTTAAACAAGGGGTGTAAGGTAAAGAACACGGTTTCCCTACGATGGTCTCTTATGTTAAAGTCGTTAACAAAAACCCAGCTTCATGCTAGAGAACACGGTAGCACAGGCCCATGACTTCTTTTCCGATTGTGCAGGCCCGATTGTTTGTTCAAGTTAAACGAGGTACTACAGAGGCCTAAATAATCTCCAACACTATTTTGGTTGAGCTGTGGGCTTCAGGCATTCCACTTGCACCACGTGCCGCTTGAAGGGTAAGGGTTAGGGTTGGTTTAGGGGTTGAGGGTTTCGAATTAGAACACGGCCAAGTACTTAAAGGATCATGGGGCTTAGTAACTAGGGTTATAAGGTAACTATACTTATAGGGTACCTATAACCTCACTTACTAAGTCGCCTGATCCTACAAGTATGGTGATATTGACCACTGTTGGTATTGTCGTCTACGCCTTGCCTTGCAAGAAACACACAAACACCAAACTGCCATGAGCCCTAGAAATCCAGGAAGTTCTAAGCCCAGACGGGGTTTAGGGTTTAGGGTTTAGGCCTACACCCGAACCACCTTAACCCTGAATGTTCCACGGTAAGGGGCGACAGATTCCTGTAAGATTAACTGGGATGCCCAGTAGTACCCTTATTCCCTTTTTTGTAGTCCTAGGTTCCTAATAAAGGTACCCAATACCCAAAAGGAAGCCCTTGTCATTCCTAGGTTACTGGGCATCCTAAGTAAGATTGTTGCAGCACCCTGGAAGGTTGCTGAACAGAAGCTTCAAGTAGCACTCACGAAGCCCCTTGCAAACACGGACATCAGCAAGTGGGAAGCTGATATACTGTCTGTAACGCCTGTCCATCGTATCTATCTACATACATACAAACAAATATATATACATATATATATATATATATATATGTATATTCATTTTTTACATATTCATGTATATTCCCTAATTTTGAACACCACCCAAATATGTCATCACAAAGCACATCAGCCCCCCGGGGCATGAAAAAAGCGAGGTGCGAAAGGCAAAGGACCTTCGCAACCCGGAGTGCCAGGTGGGGATGTTCGGGTCAGTACTTGGAGGGTCGGGGGACTTACTAAGTAGGTCGGAAGTAGACTTATAAGTACCCTACAAGGGACCCTAACTGGGGTTATGGTACTTATAAGTCCTTAAAATAACCAGTTACTAAGTCCCCCGACCCTCCAAGTATTGGTAATTATTGAAGCCCCTATATTAGGATTTACGGGTGCTGCGTTTCAATCCATTCTGGGTTGACTGATGCAGGGTCCCTTCACAGTATACGGCGGGTGTTGGGGACCTGCACAAAGAGGAACAGCAGTCCATCTTGTCCAACCTAGAGGCTCCATATGAGTGGTTGTCAGAATTATGGTCCCTTTTGGGTCCCGCTTATAGTACGGCACCTATTATTTAGGGTACCCAAAAAACCATAATTTTGACAACCACCCATATATAGTACCTTTTTTGGTCTAGGTCCCAAGAGACCATCCATATTATGGCTTTGGGGACCTAATTCCGATTCCATCATGCTACTATATATGGAGCCTCTGGGCAAGACAACTGTATTGTGTTGAAACGCTGTTGAGGAGCGGGTCACAGTTTAACTCCATGTGCAAGGCTGGCACGCTACAGCTTCGCAGCGACAGATTCCGGCACCTATTTGAAGAGAATCGCGCAATCCCCCTACACCCTGAAACGCAAAAACCCGAAACCCTAAAGCCCATAAACCCAAACATAGGGGCTTCAATAAATACCAATACTATTTTTTGGGGGGGTCCTTAATATAATTTTAGTATAACGTAACCCAAAACCCTATTCTAATTATTAAGGCCTCTGTATTTTAGAACCCTACTAATTATAGATCCCTTATAGTAACCCCTTACAGAACCCTTTAAAGAAACTTCTTGCGCCTGAAGGCGAGAACGTTTCCACCCCTTCATGACCTGCCGAAGGTCTCAGTGTCTCGGATGGCTCTGCTGTCATAAGGGACCGTGAACATAACCCTGAAGGAGCCCTTTAAGGCACCCGAAAAGATCGCTTAAAGGAGCCCTTATAGATCCCTTATCGGAGCCCTCTAAGGAACCCTAAACCTAAGGCTTTAAGACCCTAAGCCGTACTTTGTCTTTTGAGATCTGGATACTTTTTGTATCCGGACTCAATACGCGGAGAATCCGAAGGTTGAGTGAGCATGAGAAGCCAGATTTGCAGTACCCAGCCTGCTCAGTAAACTCAGAGCTTGATCGTCATGATGTTTTGCTATGCAGCTTGCTGAGTAAGTCATCCCAGCGCGACGGTCCTGTCTTTGCCAACAGAAAACCGCTAAAGAACCTCACAGGAAGGGTTCCCGAATCGCAAAACCCGAAACCCTATGCCCTACAACGGTTGATGATAAAAACCCTGCATTACCTTAAGGACCCTAAACTATGGGAATTATGGTATAGTCCTTATTATGCGTAATGCAGGATGTCTATCATCAACCGAAGTAGCTTGCTTTCCGGCTTGACCTCGCCTTCAACCTCCAGTGCAGCTGCAGTAATACACTCCTCGAGACTTCAAGCCTTGGTTGAGTAGGGTCCATGTCAAAAACAACTACGGCAGCAACAGGTACTACAGGTGCTTAAATAAATACTATTGGTGGTTCGCTATCACAAGTATAGTACAATGGGCCCCAAACCCCTTTCTAATCACTAAGGCCCCTATATTACAGCCCCCACAATACCCTTCATAGTAGCCCTTATAGGACCCGTTTAAAGAGCCCTCCAGAATCAACTAGTTACAGCAGTAACATGTATTTTTCGCACAGCATCTCAAGAAGTTCAAAAGCTCGGGGTTGTGGAGCGGGGTTCGCGCCCTGTGATCGGCTTTTATTTCGGGATTTCAGATTAGGTTACCAAAATAAGGAAACCGTATTATGTACTATAGGTCCTTATTATGGCAACTTAAACTCCTCAAAAAAAAATACCCAGTGTTATGGGCTGCTAGTGCATGGAGGGCAGTACCCGACCTAAACCCTTGTGCTCCTAAGTCGTAAAGCCGTAAGTCCTCTAAACCCCTGAGATGGAGATAGTTTGGCACAACCCCTCCACATCCCTAACCCCTGTAAACCCAAACCAGGCTATGATCCCCAACCAGAAACCCTTGTGGAAGGTTTTTAGCCTTTTAGCCCTCATAGAGATCCTTGAACCCTAAACCTTCAAGAAAGCGCAAAACCCTTGAAAGCCCTCACTTTAAGGTCATCATCATTTTCTTCAATGAGCCCCTGTCGTCCTTGCTCCGGAATGTGCTGCAGGCGCTTCTGAATTTTCCCGCATTTTTACGTTGCGTTATACAAATGTGCTTATTGGTTTCTATTGTTTTCGGATGGTAGGTATAAGGTTGCCGAAGAGTGGCAGAGAGTCCAACAAAACCCTTCTGCCCAGTTGATGTCAGGACTTCAAAAAGTGCCCGTGGCAAGGGGATACTGGAGTACCTCGACCTGTGGGGATGCTTTGGGTCTAATATAGGTGCCTTAAGAATTACCTATACTATTTTTGGTTTGCTTTATGATTATAGACATAGTATAACATACGCCAAAACCCTCCCTATTCGAACTATCAAGGCCCTTACATGAAGCATTGCTGGCCTTCAAGCTTGCTTCTGTGTACCTCCCTCTCTTGGCTTAGGAAAGTCTTTCTTAAGAGATCGAGGCTTTTAAAGGGAACTCCAGAAAGTTGGAATATGGTTTCAGAGTAGGATACCTTGTAATTTACCATAAAGGGGTTACGATCATCATATTCCAACTTTCTGGCTTCTACTGTAAGGGTCGGGCTTCAAGACTTTGGGAATTGGTAGGCGCGCACAGAAAGCGCGCGCCGAGCAGCCATGGTCTAAACCATAAACCCACCGTCCCCGTGGAAGCCGACAAGGCCCCTCCAGCACGAAACCCTGGCCTAAACCCAGAACCCTAAACCCTAAACCCTCAAACTCCCAAAACCCAAAACCCAAAACCCCTAAACCCTCAAACTCCCCATCGCAGTAGCTGTTTTGTTAAGGTGGCAGCTGCAGGGCCGACACCCTGAACCCAAAACCTTAAAAAGTAAGCGCTACATCATCGCTCAAAGCCGAAGCCATCAAAACCTAAAGTCGCGAATCCACGAAGTAAGCGCAAAGTCTTTTGGGCTGTGTTTCTGCTCTGCATGCAGTCAGCAGCAACGTGGAGGGGTCCAGCACGCTAAACAGAACCCCGATTCTTCATCATTTTCGCATTAATGTCCAGATGTTTCCATGAGCAGGTTTCGGTCCGACTCAAGGCTGAGGAGGGTCGGGGCAATATAGTCTCAATAGGGCACCACCTTCTGTCAGACTTGGGACGTCGTGTCTTTGGGGACAGGTACGTGGTGTGATTTGCGTAGGATGTGTTTGGATCATGAAGTATGTGTTTGGATCATGACACTGCATGGAAAAGACAGGGCAGATTTATCATTCGGGCAATGTCGATTTGCAGAGTCGCTCTTGGGCTCGCCATACTGTGTTGGACATCCTGGATGGCCGCGGACCTTTTTGTTCTGTCCCGGCAGCATGTCCGGAAGCTGTCCTGCAGCATACGAGCGCTTGTGGAAGGCTACAAATCTGGAGCTTCCTTCAGCAACAGGCAGAGTGGTGCAGTAAGGCCAGATACTCAGTTGGTTTGCTTTGGGCTGAACAACAACAAGCAGCAGGATTTACCGACGGATTTGGATGCAGTTGTGCCAGTCGCAGCAGGGGGCTATCACACTTGCGCAGTGAAGTCTGACAGTCACTTGGTCTGCTTTGGAAAAAACGAACACGGACAATGCGATGTGCCGACGGATTTGGGAGCGGTTGTGGCAGTCTCAGCAGGCATGTATCACACTTGCGCAGTGAAATCATGCGGTCAGCTGGTGTGCTTTGGAAGTAACACTTGCGGACAATGCGATGTGCCGACGGACTTGGGAGCGGTTGTGGCAGTCTCAGCAGGCATGTATCACACTTGTGCAGTGAAATCAAGCGGTCAGTTGGTCTGCTTCGGAAGAAACACCGACGGACGATGTGATGTGCCGACGGATTTGGGAGCAGTTGTGGCAGTCTCAGCAGGCTTCCTTCACACGTGTGCAGTGAGATCAGATGGTCAGTTGGTCTGCTTTGGAGATAACGACTACGGACGATGCGATGTGGATTTGGGAGCAGTTGTGGCAGTCTCAGCAGGCGGCTATCACACCTGTGCAGTGAGATCAGATGGTCAGTTGGTCTGCTTTGGAAGTAACGAAGACGGACAGTGCGATGTGCCGACGGATTTGGGAGCAGTTGTGACAGTCTCAGCGGGCTTCCATCACACTTGTGCAGTGAAGTCAAGCGGTCAGTTGGTCTGCTTTGGAAGTAACGAATACGGAGGATGCGATGTGCCGACGGATTTGGGAGCGGTTGTGGCAGTCTCAGCAGGCGACGATCACACTTGCGCAGTGAGATCAAGCGGTCAGTTGGTCTGCTTCGGAAGAAACACCGGCTCCCCCCCTGCGCCCCCCCGCAACAGAAACTCCAAATGTGTTTTATAATTGCACTAAATCCGTGCAAATACACATTACTGTAATTTCGTGCAAATACACACTATTTCCTTGCAAATGCACATTAAGTCCGTGCAAATACACACTATATCCGTGCAACTACACTACTACACACTAAATGCGTGCAAGTACACACTAAATCCGTGCAAATACACACGTGCAACTACACATTTTAAATCTAAATCCATGCAAGTACACACTGCATCCGTGCAATTACACACTATTTCCGTGCAGATACATTGCGAATACACACTAAATCCGTGCAACTACACGCTAAATCCGTGCAAATGCACACTAATTTCGTGCACCTACACACTATTTCCGTGCAAATACACACCAATCCCGTGCAAATACACATTAAATCCATTCCGGTAGTGTCATTTGGGCGCTTTCCCCAGCCGGAATCGAGATTTTCGGGTGACCAAAGGCTCTGTTGTGGGACATCCGGCTCTGGGTGGACATCCGGCTCTGAAGCCAAATCCGTGCAAAAACACACTAATTAAATCCGTGCAAATACACACCAAATCCATGCAAATACACACCAAATCCGTGCAAATACACACTAAATCCGTGCAAGTACATATTAAATTCATGCAAATACACACTAAATCCGTGCAAATACACGCCAAATCAGTGCAAATACACGCCAAACCCGTGCAAATACACACCAAATCCGTGCAAATACACACCAAATCCGTGCAAATACACACTAAATCCGTGCAACTACACACTAAATCCGTGCAAGGACACACGAAATCCGTGCAAACACACACGAAATCCGTGCAAATACACACCAAATCCGTGCAAATACATACTAAATCCGTGCAAATACACACTAAATCCGTGCAAATAAACACTAAACCCGTGCAAACACACTAAATCTTCAATCAAGGCTTGGCTAATAATTAATGCTTTTAATGAGGCTCAAGTGAGCAGTTGCTGGGCCATGCAAAAGTCATCCTTTGCAAGCATCGCACCCCATCCAACTGCTGTTGATGTGACGGCAATGAATGCTAACAAGGTTCGTATTCTGAATTGTTCCTACAATCTGACGCGTTACTTTGTTAAATATGATGACGATGATGATGAAGATGAGGATGAGGATGAGGATGCGATAATGATGATGATGTCGAGGGTTTTGAGTAACCATCGCAACCATCCCATCTCCCATCCAGTCAATGCACCCTAGTTATTTCATTGATCGTTCATGCCAAATCATGTTTGTTCTCAACAGTTGTCAGCACTTCTCAGCAGTTGTCACCTGAGTAGTAATAGTAGTAGCAGTAGTAGTAGTAGTAGTAGGAGTAGCAGTAGTAGTCGTCGTCGTATAAGAATAGTAGCTCCTACATTATGCAGGAGTCAAGAGGGAAGGCTTTTCGACGGTGTTTCTGAGAGGATATGCAGGGTGTTTACAGCGAACTATAGTTTGCGGATCCTCTGAGTAGGGACAGCAACGGTTGTGCTGCTGGCAAAACCGACAAGCAATCGTGAGAGTAGTCCTGATGCGTCATGGTTTTGTTAGCGTCGAGGTAGGAACAACTGTAGCAGCACAACAAGAAAATGCATCTGATTTGTCTTTGGACAACGGTTAATGTTATAAACCCTGCATTACCCATACTAAGGAACATAGCATGCTTCCCACCGTCTAGGGTCATTAAAGTAATGCTGGGTTTATATCATCAACCGCAACCACCCAAACTAACCCTAAACCCTAATCCCAAAGCAAAAAACTCTAAAACCCCCATAAGCCCTAAACCCTAAACCCCTAAACCCTAAACCCTAAAACCCCTAAGCCTTATACACCCTAAGCCCAAACGTTACAAAGGTGCTAAATCTGTCTCCACCGGAGCTGGTCGGTGAGGCATCCGCTGGGCTTCGCAGAATTTCGGTTCCTAAGTCGCTTGATTCCTTCGGGTTATGTGAGATTACGGTTTAGGGGTTTAGGATTTAGGGGTTTAGGGTTTAGGGGTTTAGGGGTTTAGGGTTTAGGGGTTTAGGGTGTAGGGTTTTATACTGTTCTACATCAAGTTATACTATATGGTGTGGCATATTGCTTCCTTCGGGTTATGCAGGTTAGCTTTAGCGGCATAAATAGTTAGGATAAGGTTTCCGCTGGAAGGGGCTCCTCAAAAGGTGAATTAATAAGGGATGCTAAATGGGTACATGAATGTAGGGGCCTTAAACATTTAGAACAGGGGTTCGGGGCCCATGATACTATAATGATAATAAGGAACCCCAAAAAGTAGTAGTATCATATAATACCACATCGAGTTATATTTTGCGATGCGACATGATTGCTTCCTTCCGATTATGTAAAGGTTGGGCATCCTAAACCCTCAAACCCTAAACCCCTCAACCTCCAAACCCTAAACCCCAAGTATCGAATTCCTAAACCCTAAACCGTGTTTTCACTTTGAAAGGCTCAGGGTTGACTCTTTAGGTTCCTCTCTTCTCGTGGATGTTTGACCTTTGGAGTTTGGGGGCCTTGGGGCTTCGATACTTGTTTCGGGTTTGGGGGGTTTAGGGTTTAGGGGTTTAGGGTTTAGGGCTTTGATACTTGCTGAGCCGATGATGAAAGCTCGGCCTGGAGCGCCTGCTTTATGGCACCGATGCGTGTTCTGTTACTGTCAGAATTCCTTACTTCCCTGAAGAGGTGTTCCATGCCCCAATACCCTTTAATTAAGGAATATACCGCAAACCATAATATTACAGCTCCCCTTTCATTTTTCTTTAAGGTATATTGCCTGAGGAATTGGGATTTCTGAATGGAAAACCTGCAGTCAGCTTCAAAAATACTAAGGCATGCCGAAACCGTCGGCCCCACTGATCCCGTGCAGCGGTCCGCCTCACCATTTGTATAGTATACCACAATATATTCAAATCCACTTTATTACACCATAGTATACCCTGACCCAGTTTCCTTTGTCATGGTATACTCTGAACCACTTTACTGTACCAACTCTGGTCCACTGACATGTACTATAATATGCGTTTCCCCTAAACCCCTAAACTACCCCTAAAACCCCTAAACCCTAAACTTGAAGGTCTTGCTGATTGACGACCACAGCGACCTAGAGGACTGGAACTACCTGAAAGACGAACTCCGAGATCCCAATATCCCTTAATTAAGGAACATACCTTACTTAAAATATAGGGGCCTTAATATTATGGTTTAGGGTAAATTCCTTAATTAAGGGGTATTGGGATCTCTGGGAAAAGAAGCCGAAAGAGCTGCCAAGGCACTGAACGCTAAAAGCGTTCCTTTAAGGGTCTAGAGTTCCGGGATCCTTTAAGGGTTTAGGGTTTTAGGGCTCTTTTAAGGGTTTAGAGTTTTTGGGCTCCTTTAAGGGTTTAGGGTTTTAGGGTCCCGTTAAGAGTTCAGGGTTTTAGGGTTCCTTTAAGGTTTAGGGTTTTAGGTTCCTTTACGGCTCAAGGGTCTAGGGTTCCTCGAAGGGTTCTGGGGAGGTAATATGAGCTTTCGGGACTTTGGCTACCTTATAGACGAAAAAAGCTTCAAAGGTAAGGGTTTAGGGGTTCCTTTAGGGTTTCTGAAGGTTCCCTGCCTTGAAGACGAAATCAACCCCAGGCAGGGGTCATCCTACTTGGATTTAGGGTGTAGGGGTTTGGGGGTTTCGGGTTGAGGGGTTTGAATAGTAGGACCCTTCTGAGAAGGACCCCAAAATACGGTACCCCTGATTTTCGGAAACTCCCATATATCATGCAGGGATTCACAGTATCAGGGTATAGGGCCTGTACTATTTCAAGTGTTTTTGTTGGTCCTTAAGGTGGGGTCCAGGGTCCCAGGGTTTAGCTTTAGGGGTTATACAAGATTGGGGCCTAGGGTTGTAGGGCCTATGGAGTGCATGTGAGTTTGTCCCAATAGGCAAGTGTTCTGAAGACATGGGAAAGAGTGTCGAAGTTGGCAACACAGCTAGCAAGACAGACAGAAGTTCGTTTGATCAGAGAAAAAGGGGAAGAAAGAGCAGAAAGAGCATTCGTTCGAGCGTGGCCTGTGCTGGGACGGCGTCTGTCCATGGAAGCGGGCTCACAGGGCTTGGAGGCCCTGTTGACTTAGTAAGTCTACTTAGTATCCCCCAGAAACCCTATTATAATCCCCATAACCCACCTTACTAACCCTACTTACTAAGTCAAAAGGGCCTAAACCCTAAACCCTAAACCCTAAAGGGCTCACAGGGAAGGACTGGACCCGTGGGCGGATCCTGGCAAGACCTCACTTCGGCCCTCGTCGTCGTATCTGCAGGAGCTTTCGGAGCCGGAGTACCACTTGGCCTTCCAGCGCCTAATACCTATATATATATATATATATATATATATAGATATACAGATATATATAGATATATAGATATATATATATATATATATATATATAGATATAGATATATAATGATATAGATATAGATATATATATATATATACATAGATTTGTTCGGAATGCGAGAAGACTTCACAAGGCGAGCTGAGCGCGCAAAGGTCCGGAAGGAGCTGGCAGCAGCAAGACTCTAAGACGAGCCG